ATCCCTGCCCTCTGGCAGTGAGAATCTATTCCCTGTGTCCTGTCCCTCCATCCCTTGTCCCAAGTCCCTCTCCAGCTCTCCTGGAGTCCCTTTAGGTGTTCCAAGCTTTGCCTAGATTCTCCTCCAGGCTGGAAAGCCCTAATTCTCTCAGAGGAATGAGAGGAAAGGTGCTCCATCCCTCTAATCCTTATGGATTTCCTGTACCTTGGAAAAATCAAAGGACCCCTCTTCCAGTACAACCATGCCTGTAAAGAAACAAAGAACTCACCCAACACAAACCAAACAAAATCAGAACAAAACCAAGCAGATCAAACAACTCCAAACTGATGGAATCACCATCTTTTTGTTAAACTTGCCCTTCCTGGTGCTCCCAGCTGTGCATTCCTGTCCTTTGCCCCAGCACAGCAAGCCAAAACAATTCAGGAAAACGCAGGGGGAAATAAAAAGGATTTATTTTTCCTGAAGCAGGCTGAATTGGCTGCTATTTCCATCAGACAAGAAACATCTCTGGCACAGGCCAGGGTGGCAGGAGCAGGGAAACTGAGGAGGAGGAATTGAGAAGGGTGGTGAGGCAGGGTAACACCTAAGGATGAGCTGGTGACAAAATGTTAATTCAGCTCAGCTGCAGCACGAAACTGTACCCCCCTATCTTGGGAAATCTACACCCATTTCTCTTCTGAATAAAGCCCAGTGAAAACACCTGACTCTGTTTTGCCACCTATGAAACAGGGATGATGGGGATCTATAGCATCTCAGTCTTATTTAATCTAAATACACCTTTACAAATGAAGCTTCAGAAGCACAGACAAGTGTTAAAATAAAAATCCAGAGCCATAAAATCAAACCAAATAACCCTCAACCAGAAAGCAAAGCCCCTGCTCCCTAGACAAACTGAAATACGTTCAACTGATGAATTATTCATTTTTGTTTAGGGCAGAATTTACAGTTATTTTAATTTAATCTTTTGATAAAGCATATACTTAAAAAACAACACACAACTCCCCCCCCATAGTCTTTAAAGCCCTGATGAAAAGTGCCTTAAAATCACTGATTCTGCTGCCAATCTTAGTTATTTTTTTGCCTGAAAAAGAAGATAAACCTCAACTCCAACATATGATTAGAAGAGAAGCATAAATCACTGTGGGGAAAAAAAAAATAATAATAATAAAAAAAGAGACTGACAAGACAACACAGCTTCATTAAAAAAAGAGAAAGCCCTAAGGGAAATTTTCAATTTCATACTTCTAATGAGAGGGGTTGAAAAGAAGAAGCACAGCAGAGAAAAGAAAAAAAACAACACAACATTATCTGTGGGACAAGACGTAACAAAAAAAAAGAACACAAAAGTGAACCAGAAAGAGGCTTTCAAGTTTAACCTCAGGTTTGCACAGAAAGGACTCCTGCAGTCTTAGCTGCGCTCCCAAAGGAGGGCAAAGCCACACAACAACCTCGACACACTCAAAACTCAGCATATTCCACGAGCAGGAGGCTCCAGAAGAGAACAGGTCAAGGTTGGCATCAGTAGCACTGCAGTTGTCCGAACCACACCTAGTCTGCAGTTAAATATAGAACTTTACTTTCTGGAACCACGGCTCCTCTTAACCTTCAGAACATAAATATTCAGGGAGATATCTACAGAAAAATAAAAAGTAAAGGGATGAAGAGACCCGAATCTATTGTCCAAAAAAATCTCAGAGCAGGGATTAATAAACTACCCTGGGAGGATTCCAAAAAAGCAGTAAAGGCTGGAGAATTGAATTACAGAAACCACAAGCAGCATCCTGGAAGTCCAGTATAAACCAATTAGTTCTAATACACATACCCTGTACTCAGACCCTCAGGTACATCAGACATTTCAGGATATGGCCCTAACTCTAATCTTCATTCTATCAGGTTGGCACCAATATAATAATTAATTGAACTGGAATTTTTTTTGTTGAGTTAAATATTTTTTTTAAAAAGAGAAAATGGCCCTTCAACCCTCACCCTTCTCATCAGTTCATGGATCAAATCCTGACTGGTGCTGTGCATTTTCAACTGGAGAGACTGCTCCTAAGAAAGAAATCCCTCAAAATTTTGCAATCACTTTCAGATTCTTCCCTTGAAATGGTTTGACACATGGACTCTTAGCAATTATGACTTTTACCAACTGAATCCAAGACAAAAGGAAAAGCAGGGGGCACAATTAAGTGATGGAGCAGGTCAACACCCCCATCTTCGGCCAAAAGATATTTATACAGCATCACAGAAGCATTTCAGAGGGAAGGAGGAGTTTTGCAGAGATTCCACTCAGGTCTGGATTCCACCCTCTTATCTTCAGGCATTAAACTAAGCCATCAAAGTTAGTTCTAATTGCAGGAGGCAGCCAGAGAGGACAGAGAGCACAGAGCCCTCCTCTGAGTGCATGAGTGGGATGGAATTGTCTCCTGGATCTCTGTTTCTCCTTCTTGGAGAGCCCAAATGAATGAGCACTTTCCTGAGGCTCCCAGAGCAGCAGCTCCAAACCAGGTGCCCAAATCCTTGTGTGCACCAACATCAGAGCCAGAAGCTGCAGGACACACAAACTCAGTGCACTGAAAGTTGAATTTCATTAGGGAAAACAGTCCATCAAACTGAGATGCCTCCACTTAAGAGTCAAAACTTAATCCTGCAGAGGAAAATGCAAATTACCAGACAAATGGCACCTGCCCACAGGCAATGCCAAACAGCATTTCAGTGGCCAAATGCTCATTCCTGACCCCGGGGTATCAGAGAAACCTGATCTGCTCGGGCCAGAGGGGTCTGGTTACCTTCATCCTGCTGCTGTTATGAGTCATATCATGGCAGAGCCTGGGAAACTCCAGTGCCCTGTAAGTGAAATTAGTGATTTTTTTTTTTCCAAGGGCTCCCAAAAGAGCGTTTTTCTCCCACTCTCTCAAAATTTGTCACATAAACCAGCTCATCCTTACAGCTCAACGAGGCCCATTAAAGCACAACAGTTAAACAACCATATCCCCATTGCTTTATGGTGTAGCTTTACTGCCACACAACACTTTTACTGTGTTCTTGCCTCGAGTAAAACTCCTCAGCTTTGCTTCCCAGTACCCCACACAAGGCTGTGAAACCCAGCACCCACAGTGACCTGCTTGGCAAATTAGTATTAAAAGCCAGGATAAAGGCAATGTGGCAGCAGCAGAATAAGGAGACAACCCTGGCAGCAAAGACCTTAGAGAGAACAAGACATAGAGAAAAACACCAAGAAGAATTTCATAAAAAAATTAGATCGAGTAATTATGTATCTGCATTCACAACTGGATGATTTCCAGTGTCAAGACCAACTTGATTCTTTCAATAGCCAAACCCAAATCTCACACCTTTCTAACAGATGCACTAAAACACCACAGTTTTAATTTCTAGAGTGTCCCAGCAGAGCCTGGCTTAGTGGAGAGAGGTGGATGAGGAAAGGGTGGCTTGCTCAGCTCTCTATCAGCAGTTTCCCCAGCTAAGGAGTATGAGGCACAATCAGGGTTCAAACAGCAAATAAAAACAGTTACTGCACTTTGGGCCAGACAGAAACCAGGAAGAAAAGCAGCCATGCCCAAACCAGCCATGCCAAAACCAGCCATGCCCAAAGAGCTCTAATTCCACTCCCAATGAGCATTTCACACACAGAGGGCTGATCAGGGGATGGTGCTGCCCTGAAGGCACACAGAGCTCTGGTGGTTCTGTGCTTCTGCACACACAATCAGGACAGTCAGACAAGCATTTCAAAGTGCTAAAGATCCTGTGCTGCCCCTGGCTCTGCCTCTGTGGAGGGGGACACTAGAAAAACACACTATCAGATCACAGGGCATTGCCTTAGCTGGGTCTAACAAAGCAGAACAGATTTTAAACATTTACATTATTTCCTTTGGGGAAACATCCAGGCAAAGCCAAAAATATCAATGCCAGATAAAATCCCAGTGCCAGGGCAGAACAGGCAAACAAACATTTAAGTTACTGGTTCCAGTCCTGCAAAGACACAGCAGTGTGTCCAGCCTGTGTTCCTGAGGGAGCTCAGGATTTCAGCCTCAGCTCAGGCAAATGAGACTCTCCTGCTCCTAATCAGTTCCCAAGACCCCCATGCACGCAAGAGGAAAGGAAAGCATTAAAGAAATGGTAAAAACACATCCTACAAATCTGCTGGCTGAGATCTCACTGGGAATGCAGACCTGGGAGCAGTGTAACACACACAGTCATCCAGCCCTTCCATGGAAAGGAGGCTCCTCATGCTCTCAGAGGGGAAAAAACTCCTCCCAGGCTTTTAGCCCTGGACAGAAATAAACATTCAACCCTAAACTACACCCAAATTCCCCAGCCCTTCTCTACTGTACAGCATTATCCACAAAAGAGATATTCCTGTAAGGAGAGGGAAAGGCAAAGCATGCTCAGGCTCAGAGAGGAGAGCTGGGAGCTCTAATGGTCACCTGCCACTCTGCATATGGATTTGAAAGATCCACTTTGCTCTGTGCTGCTCCCAGCTCCTGTAAGAGGGTTCTAAGAGCCTTTTTGGACCAGGAATATACTGCTTGTGAGGCAAAGTTCTGCATCCCAAACAATTACAGCCGGTATCCACTTTAAACCACCACGAGGCATCAGGGACACAAGTCAGGAAAAGTGGAAAGGAGAAATGCAGAATGGAAAGAGCCTGCAAGACCCTCCCAAGAGAGCCTGGATCAGGGTAAGTGGAAAAGTTTCTACAAAAGCAAAGAGCTGAACACCAACAAGCTCAGACTGAGCTAAGGACATGATGTACAGAAATACAGAGCTCCTGTCCAAAGCAGTGTTACAATTTTTTAAACAACACAAGAGGCAAAACAGCTCCTCCCACTCCACCATCACAAATCCAGTTCTTACAGGCTTGCACGATGCTACAACACATCCATGAAAACAACTGCTGGCATTCACCAGAGCAGGGAAAAGCCCTTTAGAACTTGGCTTTAGGAGTCCCATGTCCAAACCCCCTCAGAGCCAGCACATACCTCTCCATAACAGCCAGGCACTCCTTTCTCCACGTGAACCGACTGCCTCGCCGTAGTCTGAAGGTCCCAGAGGTAGCTGTGACTGGGGGAGGCGTCTGTCTCCATTCTGGCTCTTCTATTGGGATGGGAGCGGGTCTCATGCTTAGTGTAGCCCCTAAGGACAATAAACACTGTGTTTCCCAGAGGGTTAAAAGTCAGGCCCATCCTCTCACTCCTGCTTGTGAAACAAAAAAAGACAGGTGATGAAACCATTCAAAACCATTCAAACTAAAAAAGATATAAAGTATTATCAAAGACACCCTAAAGATACACAAAGTATCTAGAATTCCTATTTCCCAACCTCCAAGGCAGAAGGAAATCCAAGGAGCTGATGGGCACTTAGGAAAATCTGTCCTGTCTTTATCAACAGGAAAGAATCACACAGACAGGGTGAGCTGTGCCCCAGCTGGGATTCATGTAGGTTGTGCTGCCACCTGAGCTGTCACAAAGTAGGAAACAGCAGTTTCTATTTAATTATACAGCAGCTTCAAGAAGCAAAATGGAAATTTATACCAAAGGTATTTCAGTGTGTCTGAAGAGCCGAAGAAGTACCTGAAGCAGCTCCACCAATATAAACACACCCTCTGGCCTGGGCAAAGGTGGGCTCGCGAGTGCCAGGGTGCCTGGAAAAGGCACTGAAAGCAAATTAACATCACAACCTTCCTCTCCTGCTCCCCTTCTATGGATGTTTTCTCCTTTCCCTGAGTCTGAGCTGGAGAGCATCAGGCATGAGACAGGATTTGGCAAGATGCCTTCAGGAAAGGCCCCTTTGAAACTTACCCCTGATCCTTCCCACAACAGCCTCTCAGCTAATAAATCAAGATAAATCAAGACAACACTGGGAGATCGATCTGTCCTGCATCCCTTGGTGAGGATGGGAACCTGGGATAGGACACGAGGACAGAAACCAGGGTATGCTCTGAAGGACAGCTTTGTGCTCAGTGACTTCCCCTGCAGGGCAGAGAGAGCTGTTCTAGTGTGCAAAAAATACAAAAAAAAATATAAAAAAAAAGTTGTATGAAAAGATAAACCACCACCTATATCCCATAAGCATCCTGAGCTCCAGTGGAATTTCTGCACTGAGCCAGACCCAGGAGAAGCAGCAGCCCTGCTCACAGTGACTTCTCCTGCAGGGCAGAGAGAGCTGTTCTAGGGTGCAAAAAATAAAAAAAAAAAAATAGAAAAAAAAAGTTGTATGAAAAGATAAACCACCATTTATATCCTATAAGCATCCTGAGCTCCAGTGGAATTCTTGCACTAAATCAGCCTGGTCAGACCCAGCAGAAGCAGCAGCCCTGCTCACAGGGCTGGGCACACTCAAGAGCAGGGTGTGAAACCCCTCTGGGTGCTCAGGCTCACTCAGAATGGCTGGGATTTAATCATCAAACCACACAGTGTTAGTGCAACCACACTGCTCCTCTAATGCACAGAGGAGTGAAAGGGTCAAGGGAACCCAAGAGTTTAACCAATAAACAAATTCCTAGAGCTAAAAAGCAAGAAATGAGCTGTTTAGGCACTTGGCCGTGTTCCTTTTCAGAAATGCACACAGAGTCTTTCCCTCCCTGCCAGGGGCTTGCATCTGTGTTCGGTACTGGAGCCCAAAATAATTTCCAAATGCTCCCCAGGAGGAGTGAGTAGGAAGTGAAGCCCACAATCTCTGCCTTGCACACACAAGGCACGGTGCCTCTCCCTAATTCCCAGCTCACGAGCCTACACAGATTACTCGGTTCCATTGAAACATGAAATATTTCCTATAGTGCCAATTTACTGGGAGGCCATTTCAAGGAGAGCTCCTTATCTAGTCTTTCTGCTACTTGCACAGTTTAGGGGGCTGGGTGGCTATCAAGTTGCCAGGCTTTAAATACACTTCAAAAACTTTTAAAAAATTAGAAATTACAATTTTACAAAGAGACAGGGGAGAACAGGAATAGAAATTAGGTTTTCCTGCATTGTGTTAGCAATATACTTTCCCCAGCTGAAGATTTGGTTTCAAAGGGAGAGTACAGGAATATCAGTGATCCCTCACATCAAGCCAAGAGGTGCAGAATCCTTCTATTAAATTTGCCTGAGATTTTTCCGGCAAAGGTAGAAAAAAAATCTGCATCGAAAGCATAAATTTTCTGCCGCTGCTACAGGTATGTTCACATACTGCATATAATACACTTTTTTGTTTTAGTAGCCTTCCTAGATCAATTTAGCCATTTCTCTTTTCTATGGGGTAACATCAATATCAGCAGCAGATAAGAGAGGAATATGCTGAGAATTACAAGCAAGTACCCCCACACAGCAAGAGAGGAGGACCTGAATGCATAAAGAGGCCCAAAATGGGCTTGGATGAACGTGGGGAAAAAACGGAACATGGGATGTCCTGAGCCCCTTGCAAGCCGGAAGGGGCTGCAGGAGAGCTGGAGAGGGACTGGGGACAAGGGATGGAGGGACAGGACACAGGGAATGGCTTCCCACTGCTAGAAGGTAGGAATAGATGGGATATTTAGAAGGAATTGTTGGCTGTGAGGGTGGGGAGGCCTTGGCACAGGGTGCCCAGAGAAGCTGTGGCTGCCCCTGGATCCCTGGGAGTGTCCAAGACCAGGCTTGGAGCAACCTGAGATAATGGAAGGTGCCCTTGCCCATGGCAGGGGGGTGGAATGAGATGACTTCAAACCCAAATTTATCATTTATGACATGCACATTTGATAAGGAACCTATGGAGCTTTTCCTCATCCCCCTCTCTTCACTGAGCTCCCGTTTATTCTGCTGTTCCAACATTCCATCACAACACTCTCGCCACCCAGCTCCACTTCTTTATAACTTAGCAAGTTCCACCCTAGTCACCAGTTCAGAATCTTTTTTTAAACCCCTCAAACAGCTTTTAAGGAGAAGTGAAGCTTCTCTCCTGAGCAGACAGAGTGGAGAAGACGCACTACAAGGTTTTCAGTGTGCGCATCAAACAGCAAGACAGCTCTGAGGGGTGCAGAGGTGAAGCGCCTGGGAAGAGCTCCTTTCACACACAGAAATGAAAGGAGACAGCTCTCACTCCCTGCCAGTGCTCAGCACCTTTTCCTACAGCACTGCCTTCTCTCTGTGAATTTTCTGTGTGACTGAGGATGCTGCTGGCACGTTTGGGGGAGAGGAGGCAGGAGAGGTGCTCTCCAACTGGAATGCAGCTCTCTCCATGCTCAAAATTCCTCCTGGTCAAGGCCTGAATATCCCAGACCTCATCCTGAAGTGAAGGGAGCTGCTCTAAGAGCATCCCATGCACTCACTGCTCCCATCCCATGCACTCACTGCTCCCCATCCATCCCATGCACTCAGTGCTCCCCATCCCATGCACTCACTGCTCTCCATCCATCCATCCATCCCATGCACTCTCTGCTCTCCATCCATCCCATGCACTCACTGCTCCCATTTGGTAATATTGGGATCATATTCCAATACCCATCCCATGCACTCTCTGCTCTCCATCCCATGCACTCACTGTCCCCATCCATCCCATGCACTCCCTGCTCCCCATCCATCCCATGCACTCCCTGCTCCCCATCCCATGCACTCCCTGCTCCCCATCCATCCCATGCACTCCCTGCTCCCCATCCCATGCCCTCACTGCTCTCCATCCATCCCATGCACTCACTGCTCCCCATCCCAGGGCTAAGGCAGGCTCTGCCATGGAGCAGTCACAGAAAGCCTCAGGTGTCTCCCAGCTCCAAGAAACCATTTCCTGGCAAGTTTTCATTTGCAGCAAGTACCTGCTGTACATTATCCTGATAAGAACAGATGCCTCACTGTATTTTTAGCCAGGCTGACCCCAGATCACACAATAAACACCTCTTGGTCAGAGTGAGCCACGCTGGATTGAAATCAGCAGCAGAACAAGGTCCCCTTATAGAGCCCAAGGTGAGGAGGAGAAGGAGCAGAGCAGGGACTGTTTGCTCTGCAGCTCTGTGGAACAGCACATCACCAACCATCCCTTCCCAGTGCAAACCTTGTGGGATAGCCCCTTTGGGTTGGCTTTTCCTTCACAGCTAAACAAGAACCACTATGAAAATAACAGAAGAGATGCCACATCCTGATAATAACTCCCTTTTGTTTTCCCTTTTGTTCAAGGAAGAAGTGCCCATGGTTCTCTCCAAGGTGACCACAGCTGCCTTCCTGTTAGAGAAGAGTGGCAGAAATAAATGCCCAGTCTAAATGGAAGCAGTCTGTATCCATCTGTAACTTTAACACAGCATTTCGAGGTGCCAGCTTCAGTTTGCACTACACAGAGGCAAGAGAAAAGCTGAAGTTACTCCATCACAAACTTCCCACATTGCCCAACACCCAGTGCCAGGGAAATTAATCAGGCTAACTACCAATCTAAAAAAAAAAAATTATTTAAAACCTAGGGGCTCTGAAAAAAATAGTGAGAACACTGTAGCACTATCAGTTTCTGAAATACATAAAATTTATCTATTACCAAAATGTTCTCAGTCCTCCACAAAACACAGGACAGACAAGTTTTGCCTGCATGGAAAAAAAGCTCCATCTAAATGAAAAGCATCCCTATTAATTGGAATGAAGACCTTTTAAACATCAGCATTTAGCATTTACTTCTTCCCTCCAACAAAAAAAAACTGCCTTTCACCCTAACTGGCAACTCCTTCCAGAAAAATTTACAATCAGTAGCACACTGGAATTCACAGCGTTGCCATTAACTCTGACATCACTCCTACCAAGAAAACATTGATTAAGACATTTTTTTGGAGCAAGATTATTGCATACAGTGGGACAAGTGGGTGTTTTTCTCCTGTTCCATGAGACTCCAAGTCTCCCTTGCAACATTCCAGTCTGGTGCTGTCTGAACACCCACCACACCAAGGACAGGAGAAATGCAGAAACTGCCCATGCAAACCAGCAGTCAAACCAAGGCAAATAACAAACAGCACATTCAAGAGCTCAAAGCCAGCTGGAAAAGAATGGAAGGGATGGAATTGCTGAATTTTGTCTATACAGGATCAGTATCTGAACAGCAGCAATGCCATAAAACTGCCCTAAAGATCCCAGCACTTTGGTTGCAGATGCAGCACTGCCTATGGATGACTTAAAGCATCACACAGCACATAAAAAAAAAAAAAAAGAGAAATAAAAGAGAAATAAAATCTCTTTTGATATATTTTTAAGTCATAATTTGCTTATATAAGCACAGTAAAAGAGAGATCCTGCTGTGAGGAGCTGAAGGCAAGGCAGGGGTGTCACCCACAGGAAAAAATCTCACCTGTACCCAGGAGATGGGAAAGGGAGGTAAAAGGTGAATTCCACAAGTTGCACAGAAAAACTGGCAGAGCCAAGGGAAAGTCTGCCAAGAGATCTCCAGTCCTTTCCCAAACTATTCTCCCTTCACAGTTTAGGAATTGATTACATCTGCTGCCCTAGTCCTTCAAAACTGTTTCAGTTTTAGGTCTTCTTTCCATTACTACACAAATTCAGTCCAAAAATGGATGTACTCTGAAGATCCAGTTTTTCAAGGTAAGGAATTACAGAAATTGGGGAACCAATAGTTCCCAAAAGCCTCACTTTGCCCTTTAATAACTCAAACCTGCAGGTCCCTCTGCACACAGACCTGACTTTCCCTCAAAGGACTGAGATTTCCCTCCCAGCAGCTGGAACTGGAAAAGATGGGATGTATGAGAACAAAAAGCCACCCCTTAGTAAGCTAGCAACTAGACAAAAAACCATGGCAGTCATTTAATCTCCCAAGTTTCTTCCAAAGAGGACGATCTTTCACACCCTACAGAGTGTGTCGTGATGGTATCATTTTTTGGGAAATGAGTTCCTCATTCTTGGGCTCTAAGGAGGACACCAAACCCATTACTCTCTCTACTAATCACAGGATACTCTGAGTAGTAGCCAAAACTTCAGCTCCAGATTGGTTTTGTAACAGTGATTTACATCCAGGATTCTCTGGACAAGGTTGGTACCTCCCTTTACACACTTGTTCATATCCCTGCTAATTATTCTTGGCTACCTGGGCTGACCTGCAATACAATGGATGGCAATAACTCAAAGCAGTGGATTATCCTACAATGAATAAATAAATACAATCCATTTTCCTCAGGTAGATTTTCCCAACAGCAACAGGAAAAATGAAAGCTCCTCCCTCTACTTCAGCCTCTAAAAAGAAACCAAGTGCTGTCTGGTTCTAAAAGGAATTTAAGTGCATCCAAATAGTCCCTGGGCTTAGGCAGAGGAAACAATTTGCCTTTTACACTCCTTGAAAATGCTGTTTAAGATCTCTTATTGGGAAAAAGGTTACACTCAAACAACCACTCTTCAAGGAGTTTTTCTATGTCTAAAGCAAAGCAGAGTTAAAGTTGATTCATTTCAATTTCAGCCATAACCTTCAGTGTGGAAAGTTTTCCTTCCTTAGACACCTCTCAAGAGCAAAAGGACAAAGATGATGTGAGCTTATAGATATGGGGAAAAAAAGAAGGTAAGGAGGAAGTAGTAAAGATTTTAGAGCTAAGTTGAACAAGGGTTCAGTTATTAGCACAAAATAGAATTTCCTAAACAGCTTCATGTGACACTGCAAATAAAAGATGCAAGGCTGAGAAAAATCCACACAACAGGTTTCATCTGGAGAGGGTTTTGGTGGTTTTTACACCTTCCAGAAACTCTCAAGTTTTCTCCATTATTTTGGAGGCAACACTTTTCACCACAGGGAAATGTCAGGGAGCTACTTTGTAGGGTAAAACCTGAGCCTTTCCAAGCAGCTGGCACTGGATGGTTGTACCCAGGAATTCTGCTGATCCTCAGCATCACAATTCCAGCCAGTGCAAAAATCAAGGCTTCTTGGCACTTTTACTCTTTAAAACAACTTTGAGAAAAAAAAGCATCAACATGCTTAACAGAAAAAAACAGGCTTAGCTGTCCCTCTGGACCCACCCAACTTAAATCTGAATTATTCTCAGGCCAACTGTCAGCTGGAGCCTCTTGATTTTCAGTTTACACACAAAGCAGAAGTTTTGAGGCTCTGACTCCCCTGGAATTTTTCTTAATAGAATTCTGGATATTGAAGCCAAGTTCACATTAGAGAGCCTGAGTTTTAAATTCCTTAAAACAATTACACAGTTAATTTAATCAAGCCAATGTTTAAAGGAAATTAAACATAAATATTTTGATCTTTACAATAAAACTGTTAAAAGGGAAAAATAAGAACTATGGTCAAACAAAAATCTATGGAGAAGAACAATACAAGGAAATTAATTCAACTGTGATTTTGAAGATTGCTGGTTAGTTAAAGATAATGAGGAGATTTACTTCTCTTTTTGTATTCAAGATCTATTTTGAGATTTGGAGAAGCAGGTGGGATTTGACAGACCCATCTCCAGCTTATCACTGTAACTATCAACATCCCATCCATGAGCTTGAGATCCAGCCCAAAACCCTCTGAAGATCCTCTCTGACAAAGTGTGTGGAGTTTTTTGCTGCAACTTTATATTATGCAGCCATTATGAATGGTTTTTATTTGTTCATTCTGAAGAGCCTCAGATTCTATTTCACATTAACTGACTACAACTTCACTGCTGCTGCTGATTCCCAGATTTAGTGAGTGGTGGGAGGGCAGGGCAGGTATCTGTGGCTGAGGAAGTTCTGCATCATTTGTTGCAAACCAAAAAGCAGATTTCTTCCCAAAGAAGAAATGGGAAAAAAAATTAACCTGGTCAGAGGGAGAACCTCTGGAGTACCCCAGACCAAGAAGTGAATTATCAGTGCTAATAAGCAAAAGGCTTCCATTCTGTAAATAAACAGCAGGAGATGTTCAGGCTGCATTTGTTTACCAGGATTTGTCTTCTCAAGCTGGTACCATCTGTAAAATGCCCTTTTCTTCTGTTCACTCAGGTCCGACCCCTGCTGCAACAGCCAATGGGAGATCCGGCTCTGACTGATACCTGTGAGAAACCAGAACAGAACAAAAAAGGAGAGAAAGAGAAAAGTTCAACAAAAAAAGAGAGAAAGAGAAAATTTCTTCTTTACCAAACATTTTAAGTGGTTTATCTACTGATAAAAGGTGGTGTCTTACAAAGCCCAGTAACTTGGGATGCTTAAATCCCAGAAAAAGCAGAGTTGATGCTTCCCTGCTGTCCCAAACTGCCTGAATTTCTCCCTGGGGTTATGTTCAACCTTACTCAAGGAACACCCTGGAATCTGCATAATCAGCCCCAAAACAAAGAGAGGAAAAGCTGAGAAGCCAAAGCTATCATAGATTTGAATTGTCCACACCTTCCCTGATTCCTAAACTTCGTCTGTGAAATGGGAACAAGTCCCTTCCCCATATTACATATAAATAATGATTGTTAGGAAATCCTTATCATTCAGTGCTTGAATAAGAACAGAGATAAACACAGAAAACAGTTTATGTGATATAGATCACATCAGCCCAGAAATGGAGCAAACCAACTGTCAGCAGCTGTAAGAACAGCCACAAAACAACCCAGAAAGAGCAGCTGTCTGTCAGCAAAGCAGGAGCCAAGCTGGAGGTATCCAGGCATGATCAGGAACAAAACATTGCAGTTTTTAAAGCAAGAGTTCTAAGGAAACAGTAAGAAGGAGAAAAAAATTCCTAGAAGTTAATACAGTTATTTCCAAAGCAGGGGATGAAGGATCAATGCAGGAAGGGCAAAAAATGCTCAGCAGAGGAACTGAATAAAATGAGAGGTTTAGAAGTGCATGAAGAGGTCAGCAATAGGTTCTCCTGAAAATGTAAAAAATGCAGAGCTTGCTGAGTAACTGAAGCACTACTTCACAACTCCCTGTGCTTTCCACAAGGCCCTTCAGCTATCAGAACAGGTTAACAACATCCAAACTCTCCTGAGAAGTGAAGTTTTAGGAGGTGCTCCAAGTACCAATATACTGCCAACACCACCTGTGCCACCACCTGCTTGGTGATATCACCCGGGCAGGTAGAGGCTGGTTTGCACACAGAACCCAAACTACCTCCCCCCTCTAGAGAGCATCAAGGTTTTATAAGCTCTCATCATCATATTTAACTCATGAAAAACAGCCCCCTGTAGTTCTACCACTTCTAAAGTGGGGGTTTATTATGCTTTTTTTGGTGTGTTGAAGGTTGTTAACTTCAGAATGTCTCAACTTGACTCTCAGGTATCATATTCAGGTGAGTTTGCACCAACCAGATTTTTAACATCACTGGGTTTGTACTCTTAATTGTTCTTCCTCAAACAGAATTCTGGAGGCTATGAAGTTTTAATTGTCCTGGGGGAAGGGATGGGTGTGTTTGGTTTCAGATACAGCAGAGCTGTGCCCACAAAACAGACCCTGATTTTACCAGACCCCACTCCCAGAGACTGCCTTGACTTCAACTGACAGAGTTCAGGAGCAGCTGCCTACCCCCAGGGCCCACAGTGGGATCTAAAACTGAGTTTATACTACTGGGGAAGTGGAATTATTCAACCAAACACAGCCCTCAGACCCTGCCAAGTTTACATCAAGTAACTGCAGAAGCACACAAGTTAATAGCAGAAGAAGGCAGTGTAAGTTGATAACACTCCTTGGCCCAAAACAAGGCTCCAGCCTAGCTGAAATCCTGCCATGTCCATGCCTGATCACCACTGCAAAGTCCAAGGTTTGAAAATGTGCAGCTCTTGACCTATTATGATTTATAAAAGCCATTTCTTGTCCTGGGCTGTGGGACACAAAGGTTTGCGTCTCACTGCTTTTGGCTGCCCTGCTCCCATTAATTACTCACTGGGTAACAGCTCCAGTCATTTACTTGTTGTTTACTACAGTCCACTTACACTCATTGCAGTGAATTAGAGTGTGTTGAGTGTCTGGATAACAACCTAAGATACAAACACAAAGCATTGATAGATAAAAATTATAAATAGAGATTAAATGTCTGCCATGAGTGGAAAATCTGAATCGTGCTCAAGAGGCTGCCTGACACTGTCACACGTGGCACAGATGTCACCACTCCAGACAATGTGCTCAAGGGCAAGGCACAGCAGCAGCAGGAGCCAAAAAACTCAAGCTGGGTCTTGCCATGTCCACTTTCATGGAATCGCAAAAAAAATCTGAGTTGGAAAGACCTTTAAAGGTCATCAGGTCCAACACCCCCTGCAATGAGCTGGGACATCAACTGGATCACGTTGTTCAGAGCCCTGTCCAGCCTGACCTTGAATCTTTCCAGGGATGGGGCAGACACCAATTTCCTGACCAACCTGTGTCATCTTCATTGCAAAAAGCTGCTTTACACAAATTATGCACTGTCCCAATGTCCTGAGCCGCATCAAAGTTCTCCCAAACAGAGCTGGATCTGGGCTGGGATCCTTTTTTGGCTGAGCCTGTGACCTACACCTACTGCAAGTCCTCACAGCTCATAAAGCTGCCTCTGTAAAATGTTTTTAAGGCATAAAATTTATCTGTACCTCAGCAAGGTTGAGGCCCCAAAAGTATCCCAACAGCCTGACCAACCCAAGGTCACATGCAAAGTCTTTCAAAGAACTCACTCAGGATCTGCCAGATCCCAGTGCTGTGGGATCCAAACCCATCCTTAACTCCTTTCATTGTAAAAAACCAAATCTCTCAAATTGCATGTCAGAGTTTCTTGCATCTCAAGTGGGTTTCACACAGCTGACTCACAGGACAGTGACCATCAGGACACTTCTGTCACACTGTCTCCAATCACACTCTACTTTAGGGAATTGCACTGGCAGGAAAAATGAAATCATCCTGCTGCCAGAAACAATTGATGAAATAACTTCTCCAGAGTATTTATATTGATGAAAAAACTTCTCTGGAGTAGTGAAAATCCAGTTGTGCTGAGGAAATTCACCCTCCAAGTGAAGCAGGGACCTCAAGGAGGGCTGTGGTGCTCAGGGCCAGGAACACACCTGGTTATGGACACCAGTAGTTTTCTCACAGAAAACACTGCAGGAATGTGGTATCCACAAAGGATTATTGCAGCTCAGACGCTGACTGCTTGTGTCACACTCACTCCTTCCCACAGCAGCTCACACTTCCCAGTGATAAACAAAATGTGCTCACTCTCCTGGCCAGCCCAGCTGTCTCCTACACAACTGATTAGGGGAGAGTTTCCCCTCCAAAAACGTAAAATAAATGGAAAAATACACCATCAAGAGAAGGCCACTCTTATGTGCAGCTCAAATCTGCTCACAACCCTCAACTCTGCTATTCAAAGTCTTTGGGAACTGGTTTTCACCTTCACTGATAGATTTGTTCAGCAGCTCTGCTTTGCATTTCTTTAATGTTTCTTTCAGGAGAGGTTTTCAGAAGCACCTGGAATACGTCAGAACTGGAGAAGAAAGTTAACTGACTGTGTTTTAATTCTTCACTTTGTAAGCAAGTCCCAGATTCAGAGAACAAGTGCTTGCAAAGGACATCTATCAATTTAGGAGATTAGCACAGCTTGTTTCCAGAAAACCTGCAAAGATCAAAATCATAAAAAACAAATCTCTGTGTTGTCATGAGTATTAAAAAAAAACCAAAAAAACAAAAAAAAACAAAACCAGGAAGGAAAATGTTTCTCAAAATGTAGCTTCATGCCACTTGAGACGATCAATAATTCAGGAATTTTCTGAATTCTCTTCAGAGGGGAACTAGTTAAGTTTCCCTGTGTATTGGCATTTGCTCAGCATCCCCGTGTGTGGGTTCCAAACCTGTGGGGATTTTATTTGTTCCAGCAGTGCTCCAAGGCTGCCCTCCACTGCACGTGTGTTTAGCATAATCTAAAGCCAAGTCTTGGAGATCTCCTATCAATTAAGGCAGAGATAGGAGGACAGGGCTGGGTTGTACAAGCAGAATAATTGGGAAGGGTACCAGAACTGCACCCTGGAAAGCTCTGTGTGTATTTAAAAACAACCCAAAAAATGACTTCTGCATTTTACTGTTGATGGGTTTGGGGGTTTTTTTTAATGGTAGTTTGGTTTTAATATTTTTAAGAACTGAAAAAACTGAATTGAAATTTCTGCTTTGTAACTTCAGGGAAATGAGGGTGTTTTTTTGTTCCTTCACTCCCTATGTGTAAAAACCAGGAAAGGCAATATTTCCAAACCTTGCAGAGGCATCATCCATCAAACCACTTCAGCCCATCTGCAGAGGGCTCGTCCCTGCGCTCTCCTCCCTCTCTCCTTTACTGTAGAACAGAAAGACAGCAGCTCCTGAAAATATTTCCCCACCCTCCATCTAACTTTGGGAGCTCAGACAGCATCTCTGAGAGAAGTTTACATTTCTCTCTCCATCCTCTGCCTCCTGACCATAACCTGATGCTCAAGCACAATTCTTGCGGCAATTTAAGCAAATTCCACACAACTTACTTCAAATTAAATTTGATAAAAATTTGGCAGCTCACCTGCCCCACGTGGGGCTGAACCCCCAGCCCTGAGCAGGCTGCAGTTATGTTAAAGGAGCTCCAAACACCAGGAGAGGAAATTCCGCAGGAACTATTATTAGCTCCTGTTTATACTGTCATTTTTCTTATCAGTAGGAGATTATTTATACAGAGCCCAACCCAAGTGCTTCTTGTTTATCTTATTACAGACACCATTAAAAAAGTTTCTATAAAAAGCAGCTCCTGCTTTTAGGACCAGCACTAGTAAGTGTTATGCTAAGTTTTTGCTGCTTATCAATCACTCTTTATTTTCAAGTCACTTTTTAATACCCTGTTACTATTTTCCAACCTGCCCTGTCCTCTCCATACACCAGGCAGCCCTGTAAAATGTCTTCCAGGTTTAATTTTTCCTGTCAGATTCATTATCTAAATGACTTTTAGAGTTTCTGGTAATTTTATAAGGATTAAGAGAGCCTCAACATTTTTCTATTGCAACAGCTGACTTTAACCCTCAGCTCTGTGTTCCTCTCTCCTGCATCCTCCCTCTCCATCACTTGCTTACAACAGGAAAAACAAGAGGAAAAGATGTTTTACTGATGCAGAACTGCTCTGTAGGACTATGGATTCTGTAAGTGCTATGCAAGGTTAGAATTAAGATGGGAAAAAGGAGAAATGTGTTCCTGAATTAAAGTGTAGTTTGAAGAATTAGCAAAATTAGGCAAAAAAGGAGGTTTTGAGGGGTCACAGCTGCAGCAGAGGTTTCTGCACCAAGGACAGAACATGGCAAGTTACAGAATGGGATAAATAAGGTCATAAGGACAGAGGAAACACAGAATTGGTGGAGGTTGTAAGGAAAAGTTGCCAGCAGAGGTAGCAGAGCCAAGCCACTCTCCTGGACAGAACCAGCCATAAATTTTTCATTTCTTTTTTGCCTCTTCCCAGAGCAGAAGGAAGACTAAAAGCCAATTTTTCTATTTTCCTCTTGTACAAGTAACTTTTTACAGAAAATCTTTATCAGTAAGACTGAGGCTGTAAATCCTGAGGTGATGCCATTTGGGATCACACACTCTGCAAAGCCTCTGCCTATACAAATTGGTTTTTTACTGAACCAGAAGCGATTTCCAGACATTCCTTGGGAGTCTCTTCCCCAGCTGAAAGGGATGTTGGAGGCACCTGAAGAATACTCCAAGTCATCCAGCACCCATCAGGCTGAGACAGCTCTGAAGGGAGAGCCCTGGGATGCTCTGCCCCGGATCTCTGTCCTGAGCTATTTCTGTCACTCCTCACCACTCCCTGCTTTGGAGAGGAAGCTGATGTTCCTCCCTGCTAGAGCTGAGCACACTCTTTAATCTGCTTTTACCAAACATCTCTTTGAGATTTACCATTTCCCTCAGATAAGCCATTACTATGTACTTAGGGGTGGCACATAAGTGCTACACATCTGCTAACACAAGGCTGGGGGTTGATTTAAAATGAATCAGCTCCCACGAAGCCCAGGGAGGATGACTGGGATGCAAAGATGTACTGGTTTCCCATGGATTTGGCTCAAAAACAAGATAATAACCCAGTGCCTTCAGCTCAGGCCTCATTCTGTCCCACTGACACCCTGCAGTATTTCTCTGGTCCCTCTGTGAGCACACTGTGGGTTGGGTGGGATGGGTGTGAAATCCAGGCAGCCACGTCTCAAGTGAATGGTTTGGTGTCATTTACTCACAGGAGGAATAAAGAGAGCTCACAAAAGCTAAATGCCAACTGAATGCCCACTGAAATCCAACAGAACGGGCTCAGGGTGGAAGGAGGGAAAGGATCATGTGTGAAGAGACTGGTCTTGCCTTTCCTACAGCTTCTTGCAAGGTATCAAACACATGCACCAAGGGTTAATTATAATTAATCAGTTAATTATATTTAGATTCATCCCTTTCATTGACACAGACTTGGATCTGATGTAGTGATTCTGATTCAATGACCCCTCAACTAGCCAAAAAAACCCCAAACATTGGCTCCCTTTGGAAATACTCCTTTTGTGCAGTTTTCCCCTCTTTGCACAACTTGTCTTGCAGGGGAAGCCAGCCTGACTTGCTGGGTGCTATACAGAGGTTAATTCAGGCAAGGAATGAACAAAAGCAGGAGAGGGACCCACCAGCTACCAAAATTTTAGAGTTCATGTACAATTTAAGCAGCTCAACTTATACATTAATTTTTGAAGTATTTCTGCTAACATCTGGTAAGGCCAAAAACATCCCTTACATTGACACAAATTGTTAATCTCAGGATTTTCAGGATGAAACAGACCAGGGAAAGACAAATCATTTTATCCAGGATCACAGAAGAGTTGGAGACATGGAAAGAATTCCTGGCTCTGTGTCTCAAGCACCAGTTTGTGCTTGCCCACCTCAACTGCTGCCACGTCTGCAAACCCACAGCTCTCAGACAGGTGGATTCCTATGACAATTCAAATCCTGGAAATATCATAAAATAACAACTTTCCTCCTACTGCTTTGGCATTCCCAAACATCTACCTTAAAAATTACCTATTTCAAGATTTTTATCCAAGCTTGGGTTAAAAAGTTAACAAATCTTAGAGGTGTAACAGGGGATTGAGCTTTATGAAATTTATCATCAAGTCTTCATCCTAAAGGAAGGGTTGGAGTGAATCCAGAGCAGGGAACGGGGCTGGGGAAGGGGCTGGAGCACCAGGAGGGGCTGAGGGAGCTGGAAAGGGGCTCAGCCTGGAGAAAAGGAGGCTCAGGGGGGACCTTGTGGGTCTGCACAACTCCCTGGCAGGGAACAAGGGACAGGATGAGAGGGAACAGCCTCAAGCTGTGCCAGGGCAGGTTCAGGCTGGATACTGGGAACAATTCCTGCCTGCAAAGGGCTGTCCAGCCCTGGCACAGCTGCCCAGGGCAGTGCTGGAGCCCCCATCCCTGGAGGGATTTTAAATCCCTGTGGATGTGGCACTTGGGGACACGGATCAGTGGTGGCCTTGGCAGTGCTGGGGGAGTGATCAGACCCAATGGTCTCAGAGGGCTTTTCCAACCAAAATGATTCTGAGGCTGTTCCAGGCAAGGCCTGTGAGCCTGGAAGGGGGAAACAACAACACCTCACCCCAGGGAGGAGCAACAGGACTTTGCTACCCTCTCTGGAAAGCTCTGGGAACACACCCAGGGAAGAAGTGGCACCACTGCAGTGAGTTCACCTGTCTGGATGTGAGAGAGAAGGCTCAGGGCACAGAGCACCCAGAACTGCTCCTCCTTCCAGGTAAAACCTGAGCTGGTCTGGTCATCCCTCAACCTGTCTTTGGATTTTCATTAATGGTGACTCAAATGATGGATAAAACTTCCAACTCTTATCCTCCAACTCCTGGCTGCAGTGGTAGCAGCTATAGCTGTGTCTCCTGACTATTCATATACTTTTTAATATATAAATACACATTTATCTCTCTCTCTCCATACCCAGAGATGCAGATATGCATCTATTTGCCGCACTCAACAACAATTTAAGAATTAAGAAAAACCGTTTTCATTTTAAGATAAGAACTTCAGGCTTTATTATAATGCTGTAAAATAAAATCTGCCAGCACAAGCCACAGGAAAAAAAAAAAAGAAAAAAAAAAAGTGATTCACTGGGGAAGTTCCATGATGTGCAGGACAATGGGTCTTAAATCAAAGGCATACATTATCATGACTAAGCTGACAGATCTGCACTGCAATGCAGAAAGCCAAGCGATATTCCAACATCTGCACCGTGCTCAGACAGGCAGTTCAGACACAGAGATTCCCAAAATGAGGAAAGGACTCCCCTCCCCGAGCTCTTACCTGTTACCTGTGCAACAACTGCTTGGGAAATTCTCCGGTTGGCGAGGAAGGCTTTGATTTCCTCCTTTATCACACTGCTGTCCCTCCTACCAAAACAAAACAACAACAGGACACACAAAAAGAGGGACAGACCAAAGTGCACCTGGCAAGATGCAAAATGCCTTTATTTCCTTTATTTAGGGGGCAAGGAGTGGGGAAGGCTGGCATTAAAACAGCCCAAGTGCCTCAGTGCTGGACACTTCTTTTAACAAGTGTCACGTTTGATCAAAGTACCATAGCAGGAGAATGGATGACTCATGTCCCATATAATTCATATTAGGTGCAGCACTGCCATATGGAATGTACAAAGTTTCATTACACAGGGATGAATAAATCTCTCATACCAGCATAAAAATCTCACTCGTAAAAATGAGGCAGAAAAATAAAAAATAAAGGATAGCAGGGGCTGCATGGTTAGTTGCCCAAATGAATATGCATAGACCAACCTCCTCCAGCATCCCAAGGAAAAGATCCAAAATTTTGCAGCCTCTGTCCTCACACCCCTCCTTTATCCCCTACTTAGTCCAGAGCTTGCACTGAATGAACTGAGGTCTTTGTATCATTTTTACAAGGTCTGCACAGGTAGTTCAGAAGGGGCTAAAACTGTGCTAAAAGCAAATAAATTGAGGCTGCACAAGTACTGTGATACACAGCAAATTTCATTTGCAATAAACTCATACTTTGCCCCTCCTCTTCCTCTCTCCCTTCCTGAGAAGGGCAGGCAATTAAAACCAACCTTTATTAGGCCTTATGAGACATTTCCCTTCCCTTTCTCCCCTCCTGCCCCAGCTGCATTGAAGGCAGACTCAAGCTTGCAAACATAAACGCAAAATAAATGCTGTGCTGTGGGTTCATTTTTATTTCTGTACCCAACACTCATCATCCATATGCCTGCAAACACAAGCAATTTCAGTTTAAATAAGCACTAAAAGCATTACCTGAGACTCACTGCACAGGAACCCAAACCTCAGCCATGGGAACTTGGCACTCTGCTGTACTCACCCCCTTCCTGCACAATTCCATCATCCTGCAGCCGATAGCAAATGAGGTTGATCGGCTTTTCTTACTGCTCATCTCTAATCCTCTCCCCCAAAAGCCACATCTTTCCCTGAAATCTCCAAACTACTTCCAACACATTTCCATTCTGGAGCTTATGGACTCCAGTCCTCCCACAGGTACTTCAGGAATGGTGCAGTTTTTGGGGGAAAATAGAAAAAAATTCCAGCATTATGACCAAAATTGTTTGGAGACATTTGGCCTTTCCTCTTATTTCTTTGTGCTCTCAAAGCCCACTGACTGACTTTCATCCTCAGGAGTATAATCCTCTCCTTTCATCTTTGCCATAATGCTGAAGAGAAAGCTGCTAAAAGTAAAGGAAGGTCAGCCCTGAAAAAAAACCCACCCCAATGGCTCTCAGAGAAAACTTCTGCTTCTCCTTTATTATTTGTATTTTCCTGCATCACTCTGCAAATCGCTGCCACAAACTATAAACAAACAGCATGCATCCTCTCCAGATCCCACTGGAAATCACTGACCAAATCCAAGTTGGATTCCCTACTCTCCCTCTATATGGAAGGAATTACAATGGGTGTGAAATAGTGGAGAAGGAGTCATGTGAATTGATATTTTATCAGAATCCTGAATAAAAGTACAAGAGTGCTCTAACATCAATCTCAATTTTTGGTATAGCACTGGAAATATGATTTCAACAGTCAGACTGTGGGACTGGGGCTGCCTCCACAAGGCAGGTGAGAGGTTCTGGGATGGTGACCCTTGGACCACTGGCAGGAACAACTGCCTGGAGCAGCTCCTGCTCTCCTGATCATCATCAAATCCTCATGGAACAGTGTGGGTTGGAAGAGACATTTCAGGCCATTTAGTCCAAACCTACTGTGATAAGCAGTGGTATCTTCAACTAGAACAGGTTGCTCAGAGCCCTGTCCCACCTGACCTTGAATATTTCCTGGGATGAGACATCCACCATCTCCTTGGACAACCTGTGCCAGCATTTTACCACCCTATCTGAGCAATCTTCCAACACACCCACTCCTGCTGAGTGAGAGGCTCTGGGATGGTGACCCTTGGAGCACTGGCAGGAACAACTGCCTGGAGCAACTGTCTGATGCTGTCCTCATCATCATCATCATCATCATCATCATCATCAAATCCTCATGGAACAATGTGGGTTGGAAGAGATATTTCAGGCCATTTAGTCCAAACTTACTGTGGCAAGCAGGGGTATCTTCAACTAGATCAAGTCGCTTAGACTTGATCTTCAACTATCAAGCCCTGTCCCATCTGACCTTGAATATTTCCTGGGATGAGACATCCACCACCTCCTTGGATAACCCATGCCAGCATTTTACCACTCCTGCCGAGGCACTTCTCACCTCCCCACCTTTTGCAGAGACCATCACTCACCTCATCAGCTCCTCCACTTTGTCGTCGATGTCCAAGTCCTCCTCGGAGGCCTCGAAGCTGTAGGACCTCTGGGCCAGGCTGTTGGCCAGCGGGTAGCGGGTGGGCGACATCTTCCCGTTGAAGGCAGACAACCTCTCGTTACTCTCCCTCCCGTTCTGATTCGTAGTGCAAGGCTGTGGGGAGGTGTCGTAACTGTTGCTCGGGGACGGCGACATCCCCGAGTGCTGCGTCTGCGTGGAAGCCGTGGCCGTCGAGGACGACGCCGGCACGTTGTTGGTGCTGTTGCCGTAGGAGCCGCCTCCGTAGCCGGATCTTCTCCCGAATTTGTCGCTGTGCTCTTGGTCCAGACGGTCCAAGGTTTCCAGGGCGTGCAGGATCTCATGCCTGGTCATTCCCGTGCGTCTCAGGCGCTGCAGGAGGTCGATCTGCTCTATGGTGAATCTTGGCTCGTCTGTGTAGTGAGACATGGTTTCCAGCAGGCTGGGAATGAGGGAAAATACAAAATACTTTACTTCAATAGTTCTGCGTGGCATGTGGAAGGTAAATTCTGGTGCAAATCACACCAAAATCCACCTCCAATCAACTTCAGCTGGACACCTGCCATGAATGCCCATCTCACTACACAGCAGAAGGGTTCATTTTCCTTGGAGAGCTCCAACAGCATTTCAGACCTCTCCTCACATTCCCCACACCTGCACCAACTCTGCAGTTTGTGCCTTTTTGTGCTCTATGGTGAATCTTGGATCGTCTGTGTAGTGAGACATGATTTCCAGCAGGCTGGGAATGAGGGAAAACACAGAATACTTCAGTTCAATAGTTCTACGTGGCATGTGGAAGGTACTTTATAAATTCTGCTATAAAACTTTAGATACACACACACAGAGCAAAATCTACCTCCAACCAACCTCAGCTGGACACCTGCCATGAATGCCAATCTCACTACACAGCACAAGGGTTCATTTTCCTTGGACTGCTCCAACAGCATTTCAGACCCCTCCTGACATTCCCCACACCTGCACCAACTCTGCAGTTTGTGCCTTTTTTTTTGTTTTTGATAACCCACTGCTACAGAGACTGTGGTTGCTCAGTAATTATGGCTGCAACTTGATCCCAGACAAAATTTTGCCCAGTGTTAAGTACCCACCAGACAGGAATCTCAGATTTCTGTGGTGGCCACAGATCTGAGTTTTTCTGGACAAGTTTTCACCAGTTATGACATGAGATTTATGAATCTCTACTCTTTCAAATCTTAACTACAAAGAGTTCGAGTTGCCCTAACTTTTGTTGCTACCTTGAAAAAAAAAAGAAGATAAAAACACACCCAGCGGAAATTCTAGTGGCCTGTAGGACCCAAGCTGATTTGACTGAAGTTGGATTTCTGAAGTTAGGAACTTTTGAACTTGGAATGTTGTCACAGATTGCCTGCCCTGACAAGGAAAGTGCAGCACATCCAATTACTCCTGAGCTTTCATTTAAAGAAATAAGTCTTCAGCTTTTTCTCCTCTAAAGATTGGCTTCTGAGGTAACTTGACCATCCTGGTGGCTCAACAAAATAATTTTTAACTCCTAAACCTCCCAAGGTGCAACAACAATGAACATTATTTGCTGCAAAGCCCAGAAATGGAACTGAAAAAAATCCCAGTATGCTCCCTTAATCGTGCTTCATTCCTAAGTCTCCTGGCTACAGATCCAAATGTCACATAAACAACAAGATCTCCTCCTTCAGAACTCTAGATCTTGAGAAGAAGGGATGGCAGATGGAGGCCAGGCAGAACTTGGCAAGCAGAATATGGCATTTTCCATCCTTCTCGGGAATCTTCTCGTGAGTCAAGGGTTTATTGCCATTCCTGCAGGAGAGCAGGGTGAAGAGATCACTCAAACTCCAGGAGACGTGACAGAGCTGATGTGCAATCCCTGAGAGCCAGAGCAAATCACAGCTGAGGGAAAGTCAAGGAAGGATTCCAAGGACCCTGGGAAAGCCAGGAGAGGGACAATGGCTGTCAGGCTGAGAGACCTTTCAGGGCTGCCTATTCCTCCCCACAAATTCTGAGGATGACTCCTTATGTCCATTTAGAGGACACAGTCCCAAGCTGCATCAAGGAAGGTACAGGTTGGATATTAGGAAGAAATCTTTCACAGAAAGAATAATAAAGTACTGGAATGCTCTTCCCAGGGAGGTGGTAAATCACCATCTCTGGATGTGTTTAAAAAAAGACTGGACATGGCACTTGGTGCTATGCTCTAGTTGAGGTGTTAGGGCATAGGTTGGACACAATGACCTTAGAGGTCTCTTCCAACCTCATTATTCTGTGATTCTGTGATTTCTGCCCTGGCACAGAGAAGTTCCTAACAGGAGTCTGGAATGACTTGAGATCCATAGCTGGGGCTGAAGAACAACACTGAAAATTTGCTTGTTGGAGTAGAGATGGAAGTAGAGCTGTAAAGACAAAGATAGGATACATAAATCCACAAAAATGGTACCTGCAGCCTGGGAAATACAGAAATGAGAAGAAAATCTCATCTTTGCCCTCTGAGCTCCTTACATTGTTCTGTGGGAGAAGGCAGCAGGAGGACAATGCAAGGGGATGACTCCCATCCAAGAAAATGCCTGTGTGAGAAGACAGACGTTCCACATCCACATCAGCGCTTCAGCCCAACGGGAATGTGCTGTCCTCCAGAAAACTGATTACTGGAAACGTCCAGGCCATTTAAAATTTTCCAAGACAAGCACCCAGACTGTTGAACCACAGGAGGGCATGGCAGGCAATGCAGCAGTCGAGCTGCAACTGACTGGAATTGTAACAGCCGCAATTTGGAAGTGGCATCCCAGGCTGAGACCTTCGGAGCTGGGCGGGGAGCGTTTGGAACCAGACGTTGTGTTCCAGGTTTGGCCTCTGGGGGAGGAAGGGCTGCTCCATCCTCCTCTCCCAGCTTTGGGGAAGTGTCACAAGGATTTACTGACTCATCACAGCCAGCTCTGAGCAGCACCATTTTCAAGCAGAAAAATCTCTTTAAACATCTGGCCTTGAGGTGGTTTTCACTGGATATGCCAGCTCACCCGTCCTCAGGGCAACACCTGGTTTGGGAATTCTTACCAGTGTTTCTAATGTCACCATTTCCCAGATCATTTTTCTGTCAATACCAAGTTTCATGTGCTCAGGTTCTGTGTTTGAACTGGAGAATTTAATGAGCCAGAGCCTCCAACCTGAATTACCTCCAGTCAAAATTCCTACTTTACAGACTCTTCAACATTTAATACTAAAGTATACTTTAAATTATTTAATCATCCATTTATCACAGACACAGAAACCCAGAACTTTTGTCCTTGGAGCCTCGTGAACTAAGAAACTCCCATCTGACAAAAACAAGACTTTCCAGATGGCTTCAAGAATGTCAAGCAACACAGAATCATGGAATTACAGAATGGTAATTGAAAGGGGCTGTAAAATCATTCAGTTCCACCCCCCTGCCATGGGCAGGGACATCTTCCACTATCCCAGGTTGCTCCAAGCCCTGGCCTTGGACGTTTAAAAGGATGGAGCAGCCACAAATTCTCTGGGCACCCTGTGCCAGGGCCTCACCACCTTCTGCAGCAGTTGGTGGCCATGGCCAGCGATTCTCTCTAGAATTTGGGTGTCATTCCTAATTTGTCTGAAGTGCCAGGGCTCAGCTCCTGGATCTGGGTGCCCAGGCCAAATTAATCTCCTTTAGTGAATTACACACAATGATTTGGTGAATCCCAAGTGTCCTTTAGTGAATTCCAGCTAATGAAGTGCAGAGTTCTCAGATGCAGGGGCAGGGGTTGACCTCTTGTTGCTCGTGGCCATATGAGGGAAGAGCTCCAGCCTCAATTCCTCAATTTGTCCCTCTTTGACACAGCTGAGCTTGTGCAGGAATTTCAATTCACAGGGATGCAAAGGCTGCTGGGCAAGGCTACCCTCTGCCCCAGGAATAAAGATATTAAATTATTTCCAACTTGTGTTCTGGAGTCCTGTTCATCAATGGACTTTAAAGCCTTGCAGAAACAAATGTAAGAGTAGCAAACCTAATTAACTCCATGATATAGTGTTTAACCACTGGAAAAATGTGGACAACTTGAAAAAAAACCCAAACTAAAATCAATATTCTGCTTGTCTGTCCATGCAAAGAATTATTCCAACCCTCCAAAATTTTTAAGGCAACTTCTGGGTAATTTTTAAGAGGTAAGAACACCGAAATTAGAGTATCTCCCTGCTGGTCTCACTAATGTCATACAGAGATGCCCAAGTGCCTTGTTTATATTTGCACATTCAGCAAATATTGCACTGACACATCTCATTGGTCTTCTTGATCTGGAACTCCTGTTCCCATTTTCATGTGCTTTTCTACACAGCCATGAGATCTAGAAATAATGCTCCTGAGGAACTTTCATGATTGAAAACAGCTGCAGGAACTTGGAATTTTCCATTAAAACCCCAAAACAAATATTGCAAAATGTGGTATTATTGAACATGTTCCAGCATTGCCAACTATCCACAACTTTTTAATGAATAACTACAGCAAGCATTATTTCAAACTGTTACTCGAGCAGGGCTTTGGTAATTTTCCCTTTTTAAAATATTTTAATAAACTTATCCTGTTTAAAGATCAATTTACAAAGCAGTTAATTAAATCAACCATTTTAGAATCACCCTAATTTCATTCACCTCACTAATGAGTGAATATTCTCCACCACTTCATTCCCCCCCCCCACTGCAGTAAGAGCCTCTTATCCTCCTGCACTCCTCTGGCTACCTGTAATTCAATTTATTTCCCCCTCTTTTTCCTTGTGAAATACAATCAACTGCAAAAGTAGCAAGGAATAAAATAAGATAGAGACAAGCAGAATTATTAGGGGGTATAGGAGAAAATCAAGATGGAAAATACTTTTCCTGAGAACAGGACTGTGGACTGACTTTGCTGTAGGCAAACTCTGCTGCCTGTGTAGCAAAATATCCTCTACATCCCATGCTTTACCTGCTATCAATACTCTCACTACTCTCACCACTGACAATGGGCTGTCAAATTTCCTCGGGGAGACACCCAAAAAAAGAGAGATAGCCAAGGGAGAACAACTGCAAATTTTTCTCCCTGAAATTTTGCAAGCAAAACCTCTGCAAATTTCTAATTAAGCTCAAAAGTAAAAGTGACCGATTTTTTAACAACTGAATCTTGCCCTTTAAGACAAAGTTTCTTTAGGTTTTGGCAGAAAAAAATGTAAGGAGCCTAAAATATCAAACTTATTTACATTCCTCACACTAATCATTTCCCAAAAAGATGGTCCAGTTGTACCATTCTAAAGCATTACAACTTCATGCTCATCTTTCACAGCTCATCCAAAAGCAACCTGAGGTACCTCAATATCAGACTGAAGGGAGAACTGTAAGGAGGTAAATAAAAAGGAATTTATTTTCCAGCCCAAATCCACAGATATAAAATATCCAGCAGGTCCCAACCAGCCC